AAAAAATTGATATAGTAATTATAGCAGAAACATGGGTGAAGAAACAAGAAATTCAATACTACAACTTTAAAAACTTTGAGAGTATTTATGCAACAAGAAAAAAAAGAGGAGGAGGTTTGGGTATATTTATCAAAAATAATCTAAATTTCAAAATAAAAGAAATATCAGAGAATTCATTCTCCTACATAGGTTTAGAAATAACAGAACCAAAACTAATTTTATGTGGCATATATAAACCACCAAAATTTAATATGAATAAGTTTTTACAATTTATTGATGAGAAACTTGAGAACATCAACGAAAATGAAAATGACTGTATTTTTATAGATGATATGAACATAAATATTTTAAAAAGAAACATAATAACCAACAGACTTTGTGCAAAACCACATAATGGAAGATAAATAACTTGATAATTAGTGGACTGTATAATTAGGTGGACTGGATGATCGACTGGATAGGGAACTAAAACACACGCGCTTTTCACTGACACTATATTTACAACAATTTACACAATATTTACACTATTTACAATTACTACTACAAGATGACAAGAAGCCAGAGCTTGCTTAGATGCCCAACAGGGCAGAGCTAGATTATAAAATTTATTAAAATGTGAAAAGGTTTCTGGATGCTTGTTAACGTGGACAAGCTCCAAGCTACACTGCTGCAATGACAAAAATGGCGCGCAATATATTGACAGACATGACAAAATAGACATGACGACAACGCTGCAATGTTGCAAACTTTATATGTATAAAAATATTTTGCCATCAAAAAGAGATAGCATGATTGTTGGAACATGTTTCCAACAGACTTTTGAACAAATATTCATCAAATAATTTCCGATTACTGAACTCAGAAATTCCAACAAGAAAAACAAATAATATGGGTACACTTATTGATCACATAATCACAAATTCGAATAATAATGAACAATATGAATTACAAATAAATGAAACATCTCTTAGCGCCATATGATACAAATTCTGGAAATACCTAACAAAAAACATAATCAAACCTCAAAATATGAAAAAATAGAATTGAAAAAATTTGATATAGAAAAATTGAAAACACACTTAAACGATCTGAATCTAAGTAAAGGAATATTTACTGAAACAAACTCTTTATAGTTTATATGAAACAATAACAAATATTTTTCAAGAATGTTCATATAGGAAGATAATAAAAATAAAGAAAAACAGTGAAGATTGGTTTAATCAAGAACTCTATAATCTGATGAAGGAACGTGATAAACTATACCAGAAAAAACAAAAGAAATCCCTATAATGCAGACAATAAACAAAATTATAAAATTATGAATGAATACGTGAAAAAGAAGATAAAAGAAAATACTTTAAAGAAAGATTTGCAAGATCAGATCCTAAGGGAATTTGGGAAAATATCAACACCATTTTAACAAAAAAAAAGAAAATTCAAGAGAAAAAAATTGAAAAACTCCTAATAAACGATAAAGAGATCTTCCAAGAAAAAATCATATGCGAGGAAATGGATAACTTTTTAATAGAAATTAGTAATTCTATTAAAAGAAAATAGGTACATTGGGCGAAGATATTGCAGAAATTATTAATAATCTTGATTCAAAAAAAGCTAATGGTTATGATGAGATTTCTGTTAAAGTAATCAAAGAAATTAGAAGTGAGTTAACTCCAATTTTAGAATATTTATTTTTTTTGACATTCAAAACATCAGAATTTCCTGGAAAAATGAAAATCGCAAAAGTAAAGCCAATTTTAAAAAATGGAAGTTCAGATAATCCAAGCAATTACAGACCTGTTTCGGTACTACCAGTTTTTTCTAAAATAATTGAAAAAGCAATGTATAAACAATTATCAAATTTCTTAGAACAAAAAAAAAATATTATATGATGGACAGTATGGCTTCCGTGAGTCTAGAGATACAGAAAGGGCTGCTTTGGATGCAATCACAGACATACAAATTAATCTTGATTAACAACTATAAGGCTTGTCTTGTATCTCTAGACTTAAGAAAAGCGTTAGATACTGTAGATCATAATATATTATTGAAAAAATTAAAAAAACATTGGAATAAGGGGTAAAATTCACGAATGGTTTAAGAATTATTTGAAAGATCGACAACAATTTGTAAAAATAAATAAAACTCAAAGTTCTTTAAAAAAAATCACATGTAGAGTACCACAAGGTTAAGTGCTTGCACCAATATTATTTTTAATATACATCAATTCCATAGAAAAATTAAAATTAAACGGTAAAATACGATTATTTGCAGATGATACGACAATTATATATAAGGGGAAAACGTTTGACAATATAAAATCAAATATTTCAAATGATTTAAAAATATTGCAAAATTGGCTTCAGGCAAATAAACTGACTATAAATTTTGAAAAATCATTTTACATGTTTGTTGATAAAAAAATAATTTCAGTTGAGCAAAAAAATCCGATAAAATTTGAGGACAATAACATACAGTATAAAAATTCAATTAAATTTTTGGGACTTTATATAGATGAAAATATAACATGGAAAGAACATATAAACAACATGTTACAAAGTTTATCTCCTTTAGTTGGCGTATTATATAAAGTGAGGTACTACATTCCTTTAAAATATTTGAAAAACATTTACTATGCACTATTCCATTCAAAAATTCAATACCTGGTTTCGATATGGGGATCTGCAAATGACTCAATATTAAAACCAATTCAAAAACTACAAAACAAAATTATTAAGTGCATTGATAAACTTCCGTATCTAGAACCAACTACTAATTTATATAAACCCCTTGGTTATCTGAGCTTACATAAGTTATACAAATTGAAAATTTCAATATTTATTCACGCATTATTAACAAAAAATCTTTATTATATTCAGGCATAAAAATATACAATGATTTACCAGAAAACATTAAAAATATAAAACCTTTGAATTTGTTCAAAATATACATTAAAACACATTTTCTTCAATTTAATTGACTATTGACTATTTGATAATATCATTTTTTATTATATAAAAGTTTATCATATTTTAATCAAGGCTTTATTTGAATAAAATTATTTTTTTTATACATTTATTATTATTGTTAATTTTATTTATTTTTTTTTTTATTTTATTTTTTTATTTTTTTTTCCCCTGTAATAAGCGTTAAGTTTGTTGGGAAATAAAAGGAAAGATATATTAAAACCTGACACTTCGCACCTTAAAATAGAACCAATTTAATTTATAGATTTTTCTTGAAAATTAATATAATCCGCATATATTTAGGTATATTGCAATCGGTCCAAAAAGACTAACTTCAACATTAGAAATGCAGCTTATAAGAAACTATGTGTTGCACTAAAGCGTTTTACCACTCCTTCTAGATAGACCTGTATCCTCATATGCTTTTGCCAGGTTTTCCCATGCTTCTTTTGCTGTGCTTGCTGACCTGACATAAGGATACGCTGAGGGATGAACCATAAGGCAAATTTTAGCTAGAGCCTTCTGGTTTCAACTTTCAACGTTGTCGTTCTTCCTGCTTTGATTCATCTTCAACAGAAAACCCCTCTATACATCGCCATAAATTTTCATGTATCAAGGCCATTTTCATGCCAAATTTCCAATAATTATAATTTTCCCGACCATTAAGTTACTCAAATCCTAAATGGAGATTTGAAGCAGACTCGGCCATATTGGTTTCAGCAAATAAATAAAAAAATAGCAATGAACTTTTCGCGATCTGCAACACTTACTTGAATTTTACGTTTTTGCACACGTACCGTATCTGGGCCCATAACCTATTGGTAATTAGGAAGAATTTTGAGGCATCAAACTATGAAATATTTATTTAACGTAAAAAGATTACACGGAAAATGACTACAGCAATGAATACTCTATGATAACTTTTATGACAATTCTTGACTGATAGATTTCAATCAGCTAGTAGCTGTAGGTATATTAGTTACCTACAGCATTCTCTCCTCAAAAAACATTTTTAAATTCACAATAGTAATTCTGGATTGATTTAAGAGCTGTAGGTAATTTGAGATCTAAATTGCCAAGAAAACACACTTATTTTAAAAGTTGTGTATGTCACAAGTCCTATCAGTCAGTTACCTAAGAAAGAAATCGTTTAGTGAGGAAATAATTCAAAATCCAAAAGGTATTGAGTATTGCAACCCCTTAACTCAACTTTATATATTCTAAGTATTATTTTTATTACAAGGGTCGTCCCTGTTCCTGAGTGCCCTATCAGCTTATTAGAAGTAGATACTTTTCATGCATTCTTTCAATAGATCTTTAATATTCAGTCATTCTAAAGCTTTTCAACACTACCAAGGTTGTTTGAGAAAGGTAGGTTGCCTTATAACTTTATGACGTCATCTGGGGTGCCTCAATATAATGCAAATCTCCATAAGGCACCTCAGATGCGTCATCAAGTTACCCATAACCAGACAACCTATTAACTTTGGGAACCTTGCAGAACTACGACTTTCTTAGCATATCCGCTATCTTCTTGAGCCTAAGTTCTAAGTTTCACAGATGTTAAAAAGTATTGCATGGCTTTCATCATCAGCTTATCACACGTCTCCTACTTTCAAAAACACCCAAAACAAATAAATAAACAAATTATTAAAAAAACAACCATCCTAATAAATTGCCTATTCACTCACTGAATAATAGATTATTAGTAGGTTTGTGTTATCTGATGAGTGGTGCACACGTGAAAAGTGGGGTTTATCCACTCCAGGCACACAGGTGACGTTATTGCCTGATAATAAGTTTGAAAATGTCTGGAGCTCTCCGGGCAATAAACACAGAAATTGAATTTAAATCGTGTGAACATCACCAGATGACACTGGGCAACTAATAATAGGACGAAAGTGTTGTCGTGTGTGAATCACATAAATAATTGATTAATTATGGTGGCTCTCAGTTGCACGATAATCCATCAGAACTTTTTTTTTTTAATCGATTAGTCTAGCCATTAGTAACAAAATAATGTATTTATGTTTTTAGATTAGACGAGCATTTGATTCATAAGCACACATACCGTAGGAACGAGTACCGCTGCGATCTTTGTCCAAAAGCTTACTCGTACAAGCCTTGTCTGATACGGCACAGATCCGTTATACACGGCGAAACTAAGAAGTACCATTGTGAAAATTGCACGAAAATATTCACAGACCCTAGTAATCTTCAGAGGCATATTCGAACTCATCACGTTGGTGCTAGATCGCACGCTTGTCCAGAATGTGGAAAAACCTTCGGCACGTCATCTGGATTGAAGCAGCATACACATATTCATTCGTCTGTTAAACCGTTTCAATGCGAAGTTTGCTTCAAGGTGAGGATTTTTATTTAATTGTAGTAAAAGACCTTCAAAATTAAGGCTTTAGGCTGTGGTCCAAATATAACCAGAGATGTGGTTCCGCGGTCCGAAAGTAATCAAATTACTCTGGTTCCTGGAAAAGTGGTTACTTTTGGACCACGGTTTTTTGAAATCTGGTTAACCCATAATGTCAAGATAGTTACCGGTCATCGGATGTCAATTCTGTTGGTTTTATCTGTCAATTATTTTTCATTTCATATTCGCGTTCCTCAAGTAACCGTAATTTTCAGTAACCATCTGTCAACCGATTTGGTTATATACGGACCATAAATTCAGTACAAATTATTCTGACAATAACTGACAACATCACATACAACATAACAGGTAAATAAATAGGAACCACAGTAAATAAGGTGATGAGATATGCAACATTCTTCCTCGCTCAGTTTCTGATATAATCTTGAAAATATGAAGGTGGCCTATGATTTCTTTTTACCAAAACACGACTAGGTACCGGATTTATCAGTAGGTTTCACTGTAGATAAAGCTAGAGGATTTTCATTGGGAGATTGTTAGAGTTTTGGGGAAGGAAAGGGAATGATAAGAATAAAATCTTGTTCTAGCAGTTTTATGGTATTCTGATCTTGATCTGTCAGAGCTGGCACTGTCACATCTCCACTTAGTGCTCAATGACGAGTTGATACAGCAATTTCTCTTCCATTTGATAAATGTACATAAGCATAATCTGAATTTGCATCCAGAAAATCAACTTCTTCTACTAGTGGATCATATTTGCTGTGTTTAATATGTATGTTGAGAAAAACTGTTCCTAGGGTGCTCAACCATGTAGGCATCAAGGTTCCATTAGTTGATTTTCTGCATGCGTTCATGAGGTGTAGAATTAGTTACAGTGCACAAAAGGGATCTTATTGAATATAGAGACTCTAATAATACATCTTGTCATTGTTTTATGTCGAGGTTTCTAGATCCCAAGTTGAATAGTGGATGGAGTTAGGGGTATGTTGATTAACCATTAGGATTAGGATACAAAATCTTTAAAAAAAATTGAAATCTCATCGTTTTAGTAAGTACCTTATGATTTAGATTTTGGAAAACTTTGAAAGGTCTTAACTTTTTTTCTATTATAGAAAGAAAGCTGAAACTTCCACTGAATTTTATCCCAATCAAGGGACTACAATCCCTGGAAATTTCAGCTCATTTGCACTTATAGTTCCTGAGATAAAATCGTGTTAAGCAATTTGAGGTGATTTATCAATTTTTCAACTTTTCTGAGTGCCTTTTTTCATAGATTTCGGCTTCAAATCTGCGAATAATTAAGTGTATGGAGTTTGGGGTATGTTGATTAACCATTAGGATACAAAATCTCGACAAAATTTTTTTTGAAATTTCATCGTTTTAGTAAGAAGGTACCTACCTTATGATTTAGATTTTGGAAAACTTTGAAAGGTCTTAACTTTTTTTCTATTATAGAAAGAAAGCTGAAAGTTCCACTGAATTTTATCCCAATCAACGGACTACAATCCCTGAAAATTTCAGCTCATTTGCACTTATAGTTCCTGAGATAAAATCGTCTTAAGCAATTTTAGGTGATTTATAAATTTTTCAATTTTTCTGAGTGCCTCTTTTCATAGAATCTGGATCCAAATCTCAGAATAATTTAGTGTATGGAGTTTGGGGGATTCCAAAGGACCATTAGGACACAAAATCTCAACAAAAAAAAATGAAATTTCATCGTTTTAGTAAGAAGGTCGCTACTTTATGATTTAGATTTTGAAAAACTTTGAAAAGTCATAACTTTTTTTCTATTAGAGATAAAAAGCTGAAATTGTCAGCGATTCTTACTCCAGTAGAGGACTACAATTCCTGAAAATTTCAGCCTATTTGGACTTATAGTTCCTGAGATTAAGTCGTGTTAAGCAATTTGGGCTGTTTTATCAATTTTCCAATTGATCTGAGTGCCTTTTTTCACAGATTCCGGCTCCAAATCCCGGAATAATTTAGTGTATGGAGTTTGGGGGATCCCAAAGGACCATTATGATACAAAATAGTTGTCCAGTTTTTGCGTTATCAGACTCCAAAGTTGAAATTTTCTAGGAAATCTGTTTTTATAAACATGTCACTGCCTCAATTCACTGCATTATTGGGGGGGAAAAAATAATGAAAAAATAAAAAAAAAGCTTTCTATCGTTTATTTTCTTTCATAATTCGATCCAGGCGTTCCAGAGTTATGGCCCATTTAATAACACCATGTCAGGCTGGAAAAGCCTCGTCCCTATTAATTTTCTTTTTTAATTTTTTTCCTGGCTTAAGAAACGTCCTATGGGAAAATGCCAAAAAGCTTTTCTGCTTGTTTTGATCTCCTCTATACAGTGGAATTTATATTTTTCGAAAATTCGTTTTTTTTTTTTTTTTTTTTCATTTTATAGGCTACAGGGAAGGGCCGGAAATTTCTGGAAAAACAGGAAATTGAGGGAGAAAACTAAGTTCCGACGTTTCTCTGAACCTCCTCTATGACTTAGTAAAAGAAAATCCGGGTAATTTTGTCTTTGATTTTATTTTTCGCCCAACTAACCCAATTATTTTGAAACTTCCAAGTGAAACATCTCGGAAATGGTGAGTCGGAGAGGTAAGATTAGCAAATCTTTTTTGTAGATCTCGTCGAGTTCTACCATCTACCCTTGGGGAGTTTTCTTATACGATTTACTGTTACGGAGTTTCCTGTGTCAAGGGCCAAGAACCAAAATCAAAATTTCGAAATTTCAAGATAGTCATTTTGTAGAGAGGATCCCAAAAAGTACCAAAACCAACTTTTTTTTCCTTAACTTTTTCGATTTCCCAGGAATTTTTACCATTTTGTGGCGACTCTTTGAACCGATTTCTTTGAATTATGTCTTAGAGTTCCACATTCTATCTATCTATCAACATTGTGTCCATCTTGAAATGAGTTCATTTAGCTGAAGGTCCACCTTGAATTAAGGGAACTTTGATATACGATGCAACTTGTATTATGGATGACTTAACGTTATCCTGTACCCTAAGGTGACATTGAAATACTGGTCCTTAATAAGCTAAAGATTATTCTGACAATAACTGATAACATAACATACAACATAACAGACATACGTTAGGAAACAGCAAATAAGGTAGTAAAATATACAACACCCATTATTACGTGATTTTAATTAAATTTATTTTCAGGCCTACACTCAATTCTCCAACCTGTGTCGACACAAACGTATGCACTCCGACTGTCGTCTCCAAATCAAATGCGTCAAGTGCGGCCAGCCCTTCTCGACAGTAACATCGCTATCCAAGCATAAACGTTTCTGCGATTCTACCGGACAAATTCCAGCTTTGACGGCGCCTCCACCGCTACCAATGGCCAGCAGTTATCCGTTTTATCGGCCGTCGTCAGTGCCGATGCCTTTTCCGTTTCCGCCGCACTTTCCCACCTATCAGATGCAAAACATGGTTCCCAGTGCACCAACGCCAAATTTCTTATCACAATTTTTGTTCAATAATCCGAAACATAAACTGGAAGAAGACGAAATATTTTTCAGAGGCCCAGAAAAAAACGATCACTACAACAGAGACCGTCTCACTCCATTAAGAGCACCAAATGTTGCTGCTGAAAAAGTAAGTCCACCAACTGCTGAAGAAGCTAATTTAACCCCATCACCAGCTAGGCCAAGTGCTTTTCATTCAAGAAAACCAAACTCAATCTCCGAAGATGAAGCTCCCAAAGAAACTGAGATATCAAGACCAAGCTCAACTTCAAGCGAAGAAAGAGAACAACCTTTGGATCTTTCTGGTTGGCATGCACCTGAAGTCAAAAAAAGAAAAAGTGTGTCTCCTCTTCCACTGCCACCGCCTCCCCTACCACCAGCAACACCTCCAAAAACATTTGAACCAATAATTGAAAACGAAAAAAAGACACCTCCAATGGCATATCCTCGTCCCACATATCCGATGATGCTCGAAATGTACCGATCCAACTTTTCAAATTTTCAACAAGCCAGCGATAGACTTATGCCATTCGTACCTCCAAGATTTCCCTTCTTAGGTTCTCCCTTACACCAAAGATTAGACCTACTAAGGCCTAACCTGCAAAGCTTCCACCCTGTCAAACCTTTTCACGATGTCATCCATCAACAAAATCCAGGCAAAATCAAAGACAGATATTCCTGCAAGTATTGCGGCAAAGTATTTCCACGCAGCGCTAATTTGACCAGACACCTTAGGACTCACACTGGTGAGCAACCATATAAATGTAGATATTGTGAGCGCAGCTTTAGTATTTCCAGTAATTTGCAAAGGCACGTGAGGAATATTCACAACAAGGAGAAACCGTTTAAATGTCCTTTATGCGAACGATGTTTTGGACAACAAACAAATTTGGATAGGCACTTGAAGAAACACGAAGCGGACGATGGCAATGGGGTAGTTGCAGTGGCAGACTCTCCAGGAAGCAGCAACGAAAATGAACGGGAAGAAGCTTACATAAGGCTGGATGAAATTAGGAATTTTGTTGGAAAAGTCACTACCAATGGTCAGGATTATTATCCGACACGTTTATATACGCCTCCGTTTCAGAATAGTGAAATTGATGTAGTTGGTAAGGATGATGATTCGGAAGTTTATTCCAATGAATCTGTGGAAGATTTTTCTTCTAATAAAAAAGATGAAGTTTTAATTAATAATAATGAACAGCCGATTAGTAGTAGATAACTTAGCAATAAATAAATTGTTTTAGTTTTTAAGTATATAAATTATCTGTGTTATATTTTGTCAAATAAGCTTCTTTTTTTATTGTACATTGTAATAAGGATTTTTTAAAGTTCCTACACTATATATACTTCTCAAAGTTAATTAAGCACCATGGGTATCAATTATGTCTTACTTAAGTGGCACTACTCTTTGTACATTATTTTATTGTAATAATAAATGCACCTGCTTTTGTATATAAAATGTTTAGATAAACTTTTGTTTGCTTGAAATTATTGTTAAAAATTTGTTTATAATTTATTTTTTTTCTTTTTTGTGAAAATTAAGCCAAAGGATTTCGTATGTATTATGTTTTAGGAAATAGGATTATGATAATGGGAAATTATGATAATTAAAATTCAACACTCTCTCATATGTATTATTAGAAATACTTCACTCTCTTTGATTGTAATTATCGAAAATAAAAAATAAAATTTATTATACGAATAAACGAGTTGATTTATTTTAATAATGGCAATTTTTCAGTTCAAAGAAATTGATTTACTTGCGACAGCTGCAACTGTATTAAACTAATTAAGGTTGGGAATAAATAATTGACAGTAGGCATTTATTCAAAGTTGAGTTACGTTATTGCGGAAATCCTGAAATCGATTCCCACTTCCCTTTAGACATTATCAGGGGGAAAACAACAACAACAACAAGGCGAGATGGTTTTCTTTCAACATAAATCTACGAAACACATTAATCTTTTGGTTAATGTTCACTTGGTAGACCTCACAAAGAGCTTGGGTTTTGGAGGAGTGGTCTTAGGTGAAGGGTCAAAATGTAGGTTAAATGGCTTTGGTTGGCTTTGGCACGCGATATGCACGAGCTACATACTAGTACTTGCTCCATAAATCATAATTTACTTCTGAACAAACAAAAACTGATATTCTATTTTAATGATCATGAATGGATGATGGTTGCTGGTATAGATTATAGATTTAAATCTTGAAAACATTAAAATTCTTGTCTTTAGTAACCGTTTCAATTAATTTATAACGCCATAACGAATAAACCGTCGCGTCTACTCGTTATAAATAAATTTGCAAGCGCAGACAGGCATATACCTTGTTTATAATATATAAATTCCTCGACAAAGTTTAAAAAAGAATATATTGCGGATTTATGTAAGAAATTGCACAGTTACGTAAATGTTGTCTGTATAGTTAGTTGTAGATCCAGCAGCAGACATTTAATTAATTTAGAAAATATTTGCATATGGATTAAGGATTAAGTAAATAGTATATAGTATTATTTCTTAACAAGTGGAAGTTAATTTTTCCTCCAAGACAGAAAAATCTTCTTGCATGCTCACACACGTGTCATACTAATATGTAGCTTCATGGTAATTATTCTAAATAATTTCAAACAGGAAAAAATTACTGTCACTCATTATCACTACCGTGGCGATTGGCATATGTAAGTGCCCCTTAACAAAGTGGCTTTGTTCGACTTAAGGCACTACTATAGAAGGTAATCCTAGCCAATTACCGATGACAGTTCCTTCTAGGAGCACTTTACCCGCGATTAATTAAGATGAAAATAAAACGCCTTTCGCCAATTAAGCGTCCGGAGTCCGGCCGTTTCTTGTTTGTTTTTGTTTGAAAAAATATCCGGAAAAAAGTTACACGATTTTTATTTATACATATTTATTTCCGCTTTTAAAGAACGCTGCACTTGTAGTTTGTTAATGCAATGCCGTCGTCATTGAGTCAGACTTGTCAGATAATTTAATTTGAATTTTGAAAAAAAAAAAAAATCCACAATTACTTGACAATGTGGTGGGTAATATAACAGCCAAGAGCAATTCCTCGAAAAATCACAACGAATTTTGCTTTGTAAGACTTCCAAGAGATGGAGCTACACGCTATAATAGGTTTATTCCTATCTTATCGTTGACCTCTTCTGTATTCTATAATCTTGCTTCTCTGAGTTGGTATGCTTTCGCTTATATATTGTCAACTACTTAAGTAAATACCACTCTGTACATCAATTTTTCCCAAAGTGTATCCACGAGTTATCATTTATTTGGTATAAATACAGCGCCGAAATCCATTACCGGCAAACTAAAGCTAGTGCAAAGTACCTCAAATGGGAAAAGCCCCTCTATTGTTTGCCCAGCGGATCTGAGTCTACGGAAGGAATTCGGACGTAAATGTGGGATGTTGCCACGTTTAATTATAAAAAAAGCGAAAATACTGGCATGAAGTATAGTTCATTTGAAAATCCATTTTTTAATAACAAAATATAGATAACAATAAAACGCTAAATATTTCAACGTGGTTGTTAGATCTATCGTTATTTTAATAACTGATTTCTTCAATTTTCTCTATTGTAAAATATAAACAATTTCTGAAGATACCATCAGCTTGTGACAATTTGGCAAGCATCTCGCCTGGATGAACCTGATTGGTGGGAACCATGCAGTTGTCAATGGGTTAACGTCACCTTATGTCTCACTATTGGCCAGGGCTCTTGTCATTTTATCCTCCCATCTTGGAATATTGATTTATATTGAAATTTCCAGTGGCGGTGGTTTGGTCATTGTCGATTTTCGTGTACGAATTGCAATACGATTACTCTTCCAAAAAGTTCCGCACGCAGCTGGGTATTTTATGAATGAAATCAGCCATTTTTTTTACAACTGTATTATTCCCCTTACCGTTGCCCCATAGACATAGAGTCGCTGGGCAGACATTAGCTAAGTCTCCTCCCAATGCAAACTACCTTTAATGGGAAACGCCCTTCTGGTAGTATTCAACGCAGCAGACTAGGTCCAATGCAAACTACCTTCAATGGGAAATGCCCTTCTGGAACTGTCTTAAAACCAGCTTCAGTCTTCAGTCACGCCAAGTGTACAGAGGGTACATAATACAGAGTGGCCTATAACTAGTACGTCCCTCCGTAGAAGAGACGTCATGATACTATTTCTAGGGTAATACTATTATTATTCAATACATTATCTTATTATACCTATACGAAGCGAGTTTCTCCCAACCTGAACCCCACCTTCGCCCCCAAGTCACGCTCCTGTTGTGACGTCCCAGGACGAAACGTATAGGGGTTGTGACAATATTTTGTATTGCACCGAAGGGTAGAGAGCTAATAAGCTCGAAACCAGCATGAAATGATTTAGCAAAGCCACAAGTACTGTTTACTGTGTGATCTCCAACGTAAAAAAATATCCGAAAGCTCTGGCTATAATTTGGGACCAGTGTACATTGTTTCGTTCAGGCTGAACCCAGAAAAAGTCTTGCTTGCTGGATGCATTAAAGACTACTCGTAGCTTGATGGTCGTTGTACTTGATTCTTTTAAAACATGGTGATGAGGAATGTAGTATTTTGAAAATTTTGTATCTTTTGCATCGCAGATTTTCATGTGTCCCAGATCTAGGTAATCTTGCATAAACTAGGTGAAGTCTAGTCTATCTTTTCTCTAATTGTATAAGTCTTGCTGCAGCTCTCTGTTTTTATATTCTCAGAGTTTGGGTTAGTTGTTCCTTGCCATTGAACGGTATTTTCACAGTAAGTACCATCTTTGTCTCTGGTTGTGTTTAGAGCATATCATTCCTCACAGATATTAGTCATTTGTCTTGGTTGGAAGATTTCTTCTATTTCCCAGAATTTGGTTGGCTGTAGATCTTCTTGAATATCGGTTGTCACTGTTAAAACCTGGAGTTTTTTATCTTTCTTAATTCCAGTGTTTCCAGAAAATATCCATCCGAATTTGGTGTTCTGTCCCAGTATGCCATCATTCGTTTTCCTGACGATGAGACCAGACTTCTGTAATGTAGGATCCGCCATAAGGTCATTGTTCCATTGAGATATATTGACATATGGTGACATGGCTTTCCAGGTCTGTGTGAGTTTAGGCAGCACAAGGAACACGATGTCCAACGAGAAGTTGCTTGGAAATCTTGGGTGGATTATTGTTTCTATCTGCCATTTTGCTGTCTGGGGGTCTCTTGCACCAAGACCTGATATCTCAACTGTAATATTTTTTCTGGATAGTTCAATAAGGCATGCAGCTTCCTCTGTGATTAAAGATGACTGGAACCCAAAATTTACCAGGACGCGTAAATTCTCGGAATCTCCTTGTGACTTTTCCACTTTTGTTAATGCTTTAGCCGACGGGTGTGACACTCCTGAAATCAGGTGTACTTTATTCAAAGTCACATAAATCAATAGAAATCATTGAAATCTGTAAAATCAAGCAAAATCACATTAAAACCCTTAAAATCAATGAAATCTTGAAAAATCCCGTTAAATCATTTGAAATCAATGCAATCAATTATATCCGAAAAATCAATCGAAATCAAGTAAATCACTCAAAATCATCACAAATCATATAAAATTAGTTGAAATCCTGAAATCGTTGTTTTCTTAAGCAGTGCCTCTACCAATAAAATATTCAAAATTCGCGCCTTTTAAGTTTTGTTGTTTTCGAGGTTGTTGTATTTTAACCCAATTAAGTATTATGTCTTTACATAATCTTACACAATCGCTCACAATCGTTACACAATCATTCACATCATACACAATCATTCATAATCTTAGCAAATTTCTTTAAGGTGGCAACAGTACCCCGCTGTTTTTTTGGTTGCCTATCTTTTGAAAAAGGTCTTGTTATGGATTATTTCCTCGATTATTTCCCAAAAATATAGGTAACTTTGAGGTTAACTCCTTTGCTATTGGAGTTAGAAGGATGCGGTTTTCACGAGCTACTTTTTTGTCAAACGAAAGATGGCGCCAGCAGATTTGTCATCGCCCTTTTTGTTTTTTACCTACAAGTTTTTAAAAATGTTGCATTTTGGGCGTTGAGGTAGAATAATAAGGAGGCGAAATGAGGAGGTATCCACTTCCGCCATATTGTTACTACACTTCTGTCTGAGAGTCTGTCACTTTTGTCATAGAAACGGGTCAGAATTGCATCAGGGCTGCATTTTCCATCCGAAGTTTTGTTAAATGTGAAGAAGTGATAGTTTTTAGATTATGAACCAAACAGTCCGAACATAGGTACGTTTTTTCAAATGAGACACCCTATATATTATAAACTCATTAGATAGGTCTGCTTTTGCTGATTTCAATGATATAAAATTTGATAGGTTTATCTCTAACCAAGTCCTTAACAGTTTTCCATCAAAAAAATTGATCAGTTTCTGTCATCAGAATCAATGTGTCAAAAAGAGACCTTCCTCATTTTCCTTACAGACGCCACGTCCTTTTTTAAAACCTTGTTTCTTATGACAAAAACAGACATAGGTAATAGATACAAACCTATAGATTTTTATGACATTGAAATCAACAAAAGCAGAGCTATCCAATGAGTTATTATTATACAGGGTGTTTCATTTGAAAAAACGTATGGTTGGTTCATAATTTAAAAACTACCACTTCTAGAGAAAAACTGACCTTACCATTG